AATATGCCAAGGAGACATGCTAAAGTGCAAGGGTGAGACTTTAGCATGGGTTCAGTGCTGCCGTGGCTTCAGGCCGAGTGCACCTGTGACAAAATTGGCTCACTGGTTCTTCCTTTGATGTAGGTAACTGCTGTGTACACACCTTGGGCTGAAGAGCCAGTTGTGGCCCTGTTAAGGTAAGAGACCACCAGCTGGACCCACTGAAGCACTGCTCTTCCCGTGCTTTGGCTGTGGTGGGGGTGAGCTGCTGCCCTGCAGATGCTGTCCTCGATCTGTCAGCACCACAGGCACGGCTGCTCTGCTGTGCCTGTAGCATCAGGACACAGAGCAAGTGGCTATTTCTACGCTCAGTGTTCAGAAGCCAATGAGCACTAGGAATGGTTATAGCCTGACATTTGGCCACCACAGTGAGGCTGTAGGGGTGGGAGCATGGATCATCCCTTTCTTCTCTGTAAAGCAGGGTGGCAGTTGTATGAGGTTCCTATAGTGCGACAGGGCTTTGTGCTGTGAGGCAAACCAGGACAGGGTCTCCTTCCTGGAAGGAGACAGAATCAAGCACTACCAAACTGGTAGAAACCCCTTTGTCCAGTCTGGCACTGGGGTAGGGGCAGGGCTTGCCTCTGGACAGCTGGAGCTCCCAGAGTCGGGTATGGGATGAAGGTGGGTGCTGGCCTTCATGCTGTTGGCCAGACCAAAGTGAGAACCCTGAAGGGCTCACCAGAGGGGCACACATTCAGGATTCTAGCCTCTGGTACTGCGGTGCCGTGCCCTCTGCTTTAGGAGCTGTGGCGGGAAGGAGGAAGCATACCCAGTTTGGGAGGGGCTCATCAGAGTATCTAGGAAAATGTGCAAGAAACCTGTCCTTTTCATGTTCCAGACCCAGAAACCAGGAAGAACAAGGCCCAGTTCCAGACCGTGGGCCTCATGGGTGTGGCCGCTGTTACCTGGCCACGGCACTGCTGAGCTGCCCACATAGCTCTCCTCTTTTGGGGGGCATGGGGGTTCCAGGCTGTCTCATCCTAGTAGTGCAGGTCCTGAATTGTCAATCTTACTAGGATTGACTTGGGTTTGACTAGAGAGTGTGGAGAGGCTGTGATGACCTGTGGTGGTACCTGGAGATTCCAGACTGACAACTGTATGTGGTCTTAAAAGTGTTAATTAAGAGGGAACACTGGCTGTGAGTGCTGTATCAAATGATCCAAATAAACCTGTTTATTCTTGAAAGGTGAATGACTTTTATAATGTGTATGTGTATTGCCTGCATAGATGTAAGTGCACCCTGTTAGGCAATACCCACGGAGGTCAGAAGAGGGCATCAGATCCCCAGGAACCAGAACCACCATGTAGGTGCTGGGAAATGGGCC